AACGGTAGTGTGATGTAAAATTACTCATGCTAGAAATTTTCATAAAAGTGACCCGAAAAACGGCACTATCTTTGGATTTTAACGAAACTTGTTTTATTCTGTTTCTATTTTCATTTAAGAGGCACTGTAGTCTTACAAATATGGTGCAATTGTGTGTCATTTTTGCTGTATTTAATTACAGACAAACAAACAAACAATCTCAGAGTTTAAGTAGTATATAGATAGTTCGGCTTGTCAACTGAAATACGAAGTAATTGATTAGGCCTAAGTGGACTTTTGACAAGAAGAAGAGAACTATATAGGTATAGTCTATGATATGCCTATAATCTCTATAGTGTGAAGAATTTGTTGTACATATGTTTAACTTGTTCCGAATATAAATATTATTTTGAAAACAAGTGAAGTGCATGCTGTTCAGTTATTGTTGAATTTATCACCAACAAGTCACAGGCACCTACTGTAGAAGAATCCTAAGCCCAACAACAACACAGTATATATTTATACTATCAAGAAGTATAAGTAAAAGCCTTTTATTTTGACAACTGGCAAAAAAAAAAATGTATTTTAAGTTCTAACAGCCTGGTTTCAAAAACAGTGTCAGGATGAGGAAGACATGTTCATTTTGTCACAGCTGTTGTGTGGACAATTTTTTTCACAAACTGTGCTGTGGTCATAGATGATTCATCATATCATTTCTGATTGGAATCTCCACTGCCACACATAGACTCTCTACTGTTACTTGCTTATACAATGTGCATGTCAAGTTGCTTGATGCTTGAATGTAGCTCACTAGTTCGTATGTCCGAAACGTCTGTCTCTCTGAAGCTGGGATGAAATGGATTCTAAAATTTTACCTGGAAAAAAACTAAAAGGGACCCACAAATCTGTCATAAAAATAACAAAAATACATATTATTTATTGTTGAAACACTAGTCTTACTGGGGTAATGTTGAAAACACAGAGGTGTCCTTCACAAGATTGGATATAATGGCTTCAACAGATATATTGTCAAGTAAATCCTTTTTGATGCACATCAACATGAAAGTCTCCAGTTTTTCATTGCTGAGTGAAGACCTCAGCATGTCTTGACAATTGTCAGCTTACTAAATGCTCTTTCTCAGTTCACTTAGGAAAATGATAATGTAAGCAGGAACTTGTAAACCAGAAATAAATTTGAAAATGTTGAAACTTGCAATGTGTACGAGTACAAAGTTTTGAAGCAACACATTTGGCAGCTTTTACATAATCCAGTGCATAAACTGTTAGATTTGGAGGAAATTTATTACATGTTCCACTGCCATCATTGGTCTCTGTCTCAGACTTAACTATTTGAAACTTCTCTTGCATTGTCTTTGAAAGAGTTCTAAAGTTTCTGACTAAACAGGTTAGTTCTGATTTGTTGAACTTAGACCCATTAATTGAGTGATTTGTTCCGGGAATTTATGAGGAATGGCACCTTCAGATAGCTTCTTAAACTGTTGGGGATCCAAGCATGCAGTATCTTTGATCAATTCTTGGTTGGCAGAAAAGCATTCATTGATGTTCATAATTATTTGATCAATAATTCTTCAAAACACTTCTGTCTGAAGAAGCCAGAGTGGATCTTCTGGTCTGGAGCTGTAAACCTGTTCTGTAGGCATTCATTTTTTTCTTGATACTCTGTCTTGCTTCAATTCTTACTTTGCTGCAACATTGGCTCAGTCTCAACAAACACTTCATTGACAAAATGGATGGCATTATTGTACACCTTGACAAATATAATCTTTTGACGATTTTTTGTTGGCTCCACCATGTTCTAGGCACTCAGATAATCCACACAAGTATTTCATTGCCTGTCACAAAATGCTGTGTACATAAAGAAGCAGGAAAGCTACTAGATGTATATCAAAATGACAATACTTTTCTAGTAATGCATTTTCTTTAAAGATAGCTTTGAGGACACTTTGATGTGATGCAAAACTAAAACAAGAATATAAAATGATTCTGTCTGTGGATCACCATAGGTGCCCAAAATGCATTCAAGAGAAGCTTGTTTTGAAAACCATTGTTTTTCCTATTTTTACGACTTTTTTCACTTTTGATGATTTAACACTTTTTTAAAAAAAATTCAAGTTCTTTAGTCAGTTACTGATAAAGTTATGCCTGAGGAGACAGTTCATGATCAATCATTGGTTCCTGATTCTGAGCAGGCTTAATAAAGTGTCTTATAGACATGATACTACTAGCATATGCATTTAGTTTTTACTTTTTTATTGTCTATCATTTTTTTGCTTTGCTTCACTTAATGAGTTCTGCTTGAATGTTGACTGTTCTTTGGAATTTTCCTTGTCTGTAACACAAATGATAAGGCACATATTTGTATAAATGTTACTAATATTGATATTATATGTCCATTTTGGTGTGTGTGTGTGTGTGTATATATGTGTCTACCACAAAAAGCTGAAACATTTAAATTTAACATACAATGTCATTAGAAGAACTGCTGAAATACATATGTATTGCCATACAAAAGATTCAAAATTATTTACACATTCTTAGTAACATATTTTTTAAAGTGGGTAAATACAAAAAAAAAATTGTGACATTCAAGACAAATATGTGTATTACAAATAATATCAGTAATTCTTTTATATGCTGGGCTTAAAATACCATCATAAACTACTAGAATGTCATCAAAAATGACTGGAATGCTGCAAGTAAAACCATTATATCATATTTGAAATTATAGTTTAGCAGCATTGTAAATAAAGAATAGTTACTTTTACAACAGTAAAGCCAATATGTTATGGATAGTGTAAATATCAATATGACTCTTGCAATAGTAGTTGTGTAAATAGTTTGATTCACACAGACAATGATGTCATACAAGCCAAGAAGCATGCCCATTTTGACTAGTTTAGATATGTGAAAGTATAATTGGTTGTGATAGTGCTATACTCACTAACATGGTTACATAAAGTATGAGGAGGAGCAAGCAGTGACATTATTATTATAATTAATTTTTTAATAAAGAGCTACAGGTTTCAGTATACTGACATCTGTATATGTGTGCATATTCCTATAACATTGAAAAATACTGTAATAAAGATCAATTATATGCACATATGTTAATTTAAATGTCAATATGATGGCAATAAACAAATAATTATTTTTTTATTGTGCTGAGAAAGAATTTTTTATTATTTATTCTATTATCTAAAGATATTCTTGTCAATAACCTATTATTTAATTTTATGTTGCGATATTATGCTAATGTGTTATTTTTTTTGTCTCAAATGCACTGCACATGAATTGTCATATGTTCATTTAAAGTTTACTCTGTAATTTAGAACAAAGGCAGTTACACCAGTATAGCAAAGCTAGGTGTTTTTTTGTGTATAAAATGTTCTGAGAGTTTTCAGATATTTTGAAATATATATATGTGTCATTGTATAAATTAACATTTGTATATCTCCTGTAAAAATTGTTTAGGAATTACCATTTGGATGCGAATGCTTTAAAAATAGGTTATACCTGTATTTTGTCAATGTTAAAATTTTTATACAATATGTTTTACTGTATTTAAGTAGCTACAGATAAAAATATGAAACTTTATTATCAATAGTAATGCTTGACATACAGTTTGTGGCATTTATTTAAATATGTAGGTGGACTTACAAATTCAGTGTTTTACATTTATGACACAATTATACCAATAAATTGGAAAGGCTGTGACATCATATACATGACTGTTGACAAGAGTTGTTTTGTGTAAGCCCATTTTCTGTTGAATTAGTATGTCTAATATGTGTTTAAAAATGAAATAATAAGATGGAATAGAGGGTTGAATACATTAGATTAAAACTCTTTTGAATATGCAAATCACATGACAGCCACAGTTAGTATAATGTTTCAGTAGAACAGCTTGTATCAAAATCATATTTTGACATTGATTGCCATTTTTAAGTAGTGTGATGCCACCACAAATTTGTCCATTTTGGGAAGAGTATACAACAACCCATTTCAATAGAAAATATTCATATACTTGGATCGTAGATTTAGAATTTCCAAGACAGGGATATCCTTTGTACTAAGTAGCATTTGAAAGCATTTCCAAAATTTTCCAAAAAGATACCTACAATAGGTTGTACCCCAACTGTAGCATGCAAATTGCAATTTCTTGCAACAGATGATATTCCATGAACACAAAGGTCAGTGGTAAAAGCCATTCACCTGTCCCAAGTAACAGTACAAATATCGTCAAGAAGGATCTCTATCTGGAAAAGTAACACAAGTCGTGTACATAAGATGTTTCCATGACATATCCATTCAACTGTCATGTACCTCAAGCAGTTGGAGAATGAAATAACTTGTATTCATGCTATTCAGTACGTATACATACTGTTCAAATCAGAAGTTGCAGTGCCTATATATTTCTGTGCATTTGGAATGTTGAAACTGTCCTTGTACACTTGCTGGCATATGAAGTGGTGTGCTTTGATTGTGACAACTTTAACGAAAGAGCCTTTTGCTATGGAAGCTATGCCTGGTCAAGATGCGTGGACATCAGTTAGAATATGACTAGACATGGTAACGTGAATTATAATGCCATGGAAAGACTACAAAGTTATTTTAGTATAACCTACTCAAGCTCTGTAGGTTTCCTTAATAATTGCATTTTAAAAAAGTACCTCAATCAATGTATCATTAATATACATTATAGATGAATAACGATTTACAATTTTCCTTAATAATTGCATTTTAAAGAGTACCCCAATCAATGAATCATTAATATACATTATAGATGAATTAGGATTTACAAGCTCCATGTATTTAGCAAGTTTATTTGTTGGAGATTTTAAAAAAATGATATAACTTGCATTGGAAAATGCATATTTTTATATTATAATGAGGTAGCCATGCTTTTGAAACTGACAGTGAGATGCATTTTATTTTATTTTTTAATCTCTGCTTTCTGATGAATTACTTTTCGGTAAATACTTAATTTTTTAATCTTTTAGCAAGCAGCATTAGCACGAGATGGAGATTTGTTGACCAAAGAAAGACTGTGTTGTGGATTGTCCATATTTGAGATAATTCTAACAAGGATAAAGTCTTATCTTGATGATCCTATTTGGGTTGGTGCTCCTCCTATGAATGGAGTAATGAATGTTGATGAATGCACAGAGTTTCATCGATTGTGGAGTGCTTTGCAGTTTGTCTATTGCATTCCTGTTGGAGAAAATGAATTTACTGTTGAGTAAGTTTAGTAGTTTCATATTACTTATTTATAGAAATATTTACTATTTTTGCTGGATAAAAAACAAACTTTTATTCAGATAATTGGAACAAGTAAAATTATGTCTTCTGTTACTTGAATTGGTTAAGTTATTTTTAATTGTCACTTGATACTTTCTTCAAATTCGGTTTTGTGAAAAGATTATGCTGTGACAGGATTAAATCTCTCTTGTACACTCATACTCAATTTTTGTCAGTGTACCAATGACACTGTGTCCTGGGCTATAACAGGTTTATTGCAAAAGGCATAAGAGCTAGAAATTAGTTTCTGGAAGAACAGTAACACCAGAGTCCCTGCTGAATCCACTGATTTATTACATCAAACCTTTCCACCACATATATCATGTTTTTCACAAGGACAAATGATGCATTATATTTTAAACAATTCTATTTTATTTTCTTCCTCAAACTGTGTACAAAATAGAACTGTAACTATACGGCTCAGATTTATAATTTTTTTCTGGTGTATACTTTATTAACGTATGTTTTGGATAAAGTAAAAAAAAAACTGTTAAATGTAATTTAGACTTGTTCCCCTATTTGTAATTACTTTCTTGGGGAGTTGAAATCTGTAAATCTGTGGCCTTTATACATGTTTTTTTGCTTAATTCTAGTTCAAGTAGTTTGAAAATAAGAATATTTTGAAATTGGTGGTGTGTGATGAGTGTTTGTTTTTAAACACAAAGCTTACTTGCAAGCTTCAAAGCCGAGATTACTTCCTACCTTGTTGTCATTTGTCATAGAGCTCCCTTTCTTCCTTATATGAATTGTAAATTTATAAAATTTTAGTTGATTACATCAGAAATGAAGAAATTTAGTTGAATGGATAAGAACTCCCTGTTGTAGAAACACAGATGTAGAGGATAATGTTTCGAAAATCTTCTGCCTTTTGCATATAGAGGGCAATATAAGTTGAGAAAAGCTATTTGTGAGAGGGGGTAAGTATCTATCGGAAATACATTTTCAGTGTAGGAAAGTGTTAACCTTCATTTTGAAACTAATTTTATTAGGTTATCAAGAAATTTGTCACTTTTTTTAGATGAAAGAATCTGAACAACTTATATTTCAAAACAAAACATTTATTAAAAGAAGTAGTCTCCATTCTTATCAATGAT